ATAGAATAATTTAACATTTTATTCATCGAACGCTTTTACTATGAAAATCATCGTTTTCTTTGAATTCTTGTGTCCTTTAGAATGAACTGTTATATTTAAGTTTTTGTACTATAAAATAGGTTTCTTTTCATTCCAAATTCAAGACACTAACGTTTACAGTATTTTTATTTTCTTATAAATTTCACAACAATTTATATAAATATAATATCCATATTGAAAAATACATTAAAACATTAAATTTAAAAAATAGTATATAACAGTGCGATTTTGTAAAACATTTCATCAAAAATAAATTTAATTCATTACAAAACGCAGATCATAGAACAGATCATATAATCATTATCTTCCATAGTTATATATTTTAGTAATGCACTTAATGTTAGTAATTGAAGCAATATGTTATTCCATATTTTAGAAAAGATACTTGTCATACAATTGTATCATAAATATTCAGATTTTATACTTCCATTTTAAACAGTTTATTCGGATTATGTAGAAACTAATGAAAGAAGAGCTTTTTTGTAATCGCCAGATGTATCATCCTGAAAAATCAAATATTTATATAAAAATACATTCATAAAATACTATTATATAAAGCGCTTCAGTGTTTCTTATAGGATCAGTAACAATATTTTATAGTTACAAGCAATAAAAATCATAACATTATAATAAATACATACAGCAATCCAACTTTCCAATGATTTTCCATATCGTTCTTCAAAAGCTTTTTTAATATCACCCAAATCAATTTCACTTCGGGAAACAATAATGCGAATCAGTGATCGGTCTTTTGTACCTATGCCACGCATACTAGCATGTAATCGTTCAGCAAAGAAACCTACTTTTGATTTGACACATTTTACTGTAATATAAACAATAATAGATTTCATTAGAAAAATATTCCTGAAAAAGTGTATAATAACTAAAAAGTCCAAAACTCTCCTATACAATTTTTTTCCATCTTCAATAACAACTAAATTATAGTCCAGTTCAATTATTAGATTCATCTTCTATATACATTTACAATAAAATTTTGCAATAATAATTAAAAGTGTAATATAAATATATATAATTGCATTCTAACTAATGTGAATTTTCCTGACAGTGACTAGTGTTAAAAGGAGAATAGTTACCTATTCCAAGGAGACCTTTTTCAAGATTTCCAGAAAATTCTTTTTTAATAGCAACTTCTATGTCATGTCCAGATATTTTCTCGTATTCAATAAAAGTTTGTCTTAACTGTTGGTAACTACGAGATACTAAAATAGCATTAAATTGAGATTCATCTGTTCCCCACTGTTTTTCACCTAAAATATACATAAACAATAAATAAATTATTTGTCTAATTTAAATAAACAATACACATGTATGATTTATATAATTTACTCTGTTTTATTTATTATATTTACTTATCATTTAAAGATTTTACTCATTAATGTTAATTTAATGTATATTAAATATGACTAGCAAATATGGACACTTTTGGCATCATTTAAATTATAAATACTATTAAGGCAAAACTTAAAAATTATGGAAATATAATCAGTGTCCTATTATTTTATAAACATACCAGCTTCGTAAAGTGCTTGTGCATCAGCCATGGCCTGAGCTTGATCTATACCCTGATTTTCATCTCTATTTGCTTGAACAAGTGAAACCAGCAATCTTTTAAAATGTCCTGAAGTATCTCCTTTTAAATCGCTTTCAAGAGTTTTACTATATACTGTAAAATTAAATAATGTTAATAAATTCAATGTGTAAAATATTAAATAATGTACTTAAATCTTGAAAATTATAAGAAAATTCATTGCAATATTAGTTAATGAACTTACAGTTTTCATAGAATGCTGCAATTGTGCGAATACCATAATTACTTAAAGTGCATAAAATTTCTACAATGGTTTCCTCATCAGTTCCCAATCCACTAACCGCATCATGCAATTCTTTAGCATAATAATGAGGTAATGGTGTCATAAGAGCAACTATGACGTATTCTAATTTTCCTGTAAGTTCACTTTTTAAATCACTAATCAAATCTTTTCCATACAATGTTTTATATGCTTCAGCAATTTCTAAACGCTGTACAATGCCTCTTCTTGTGAGCACATCGATAATGGTTTTCTCATCAGTACCGAAACCTTTCATTGCTTTACGCAACAATGCTGCATCTGCATTTGCGTCAAATGGATCAGCAGGATATACTGTAGGTGTACACTGTTAGAACAGAATATTTTATATTATTAAAAAATTATGGAACATTCTAATTGCTATAACAAAAGATTAATATTGCTATTTTTAAATAAAAGAGGAAATGAATAAAAATATTTTATTTTTTAAATTGATTTGTTTAACCGAAACAGTATTATAAATACGATTGCTCGGTGCCGAAAATAATTTTATGGGTTTTTAGTTACATAGAAAAAGTTGTATTCAAATTCCAAGCCTTAATAACAATATACTTACTTTAAAAGGATAATATTGTTGTTGTGACATTATTATTTATCGGCAACCTAAAATTATTAAAATATTGATTAATCGATCGATCGTTTAAGACTAACGATAAATTTTCAAATCTATCTTTTACTACTACATTACTTAATCTTAATTTTTATGATACTTCTAATTATTTATAAAAAGATATACTTACAACGAATGAAACAAAAATTTTTGCAATGAATGTATTTTCGTTAAACTATGATATTACAGTTCCTATACGTGTGACAATCGGTTGGTCAGTAGCAGGACGCACCCACTTCCCCACCACGTCAGCTATAGTTGTGCGATACTTATGGACTATAGACGGGAATGAGTAATCGTTAAAAAAGAAAAGATCACACTGCATCAATGATAGTTTCGTAATATTAACAACATAGTATATCTAAATGTAAACTCAATGACTCACTTACTTATTATCATAACTTCAAAATTTAAAGAATATTATTTGCCATTAAATAAGTAGTTTTATAATTTAGTCTATGTCATATATTTGTATCATTAATTTAAATTATGTCAATAATAGTATCTATATATTTTTTCCATTTGCAAAGACGCTTTTATTTTCTGTAATAAGTGATTTCACAACACTCGATTTAAATATTTTTAACATATATGTTATGTAGCTTTTGTTTCCCGAAACTTCTATTTTCAATGTTTAAACAATAACTAATACATTTTTAATAATTGAAGCATTAAAATAGTATAAAATGTTAAAATATTCAAGTATTCAACTATTAAAGTCATAAAATAACAAAATATATTATAATTTCAGGAAAATAAAAAATGCAGTAGAATTCTGTATACAATACAACTAAATTGTATAAGAGTCTACACATTTTTTGAAGTGTTATTTTAAGAAATAATAAAAATGATTTTGTTTCTTTCATATCACAATTAAACACATTGTAGAAGTATAAAAGTACAAAACAAGGTAAGTACTTATGCATGTAGGCATATACATATATGTAATTGTATTTAAATGTGTTTGTATATGTTTGTAAACCGATTTTGACATTTACATATAT